CGTGCATTCAAAGCGTTGTTGATGATGGCAGCTTGCCGTCATTAAGCCCACTGAATTTCATCAAATCGGAATCGGCTGAATATAATAGAGCTGATTTGTTTCCTGTACAAATGCCAGAAGTGAGAAATACCGCTATGCCTATTTTGACGCCCAAAATTGAATGTAATTCCTTTCCGGAAACGTCACAGGCATTACAGCTGGCATACGCCGCAGAAGAGGAAATTCCTACACCTTGGGTAGACGCAGGTGTGCTTATTTCGAAACCAATTATGCCAATGGCGCCAGTCACCAATGCTTGTGTAGCACTTCCTACCGAGGTGCCGAGCTTTGTAGATTTGCAACAGAACTATGGTAATTTCGGCAAGGCAGAAGTTGCAATTATAAGCAACACTGGTTCTATACTGGACACTAGTACGTCAATACTACCGGAATCAACCGATCCTTGCGACTACTTGGACATTAGCAATAATGACAACCCATACAAACCAACACCATTAGATCTACCTATATCAGCGCCGTCTCAAATGCAAGCGATGCCCAACCTACAAATGGATATCGATGTTAGTAATAGTATCAATGGAATAGCAGAAATAGGAAATAAACTTGAGGAGACCGTCGTTAATTCCTCAATAAACGCAGATCAATCCATGGATATGATTCCAACCGAAGAGAGCATTGAACAACTATTGAAAGAGGATATGCAATACAATAACGATACAGAAGATATGGAAACTGAGTCTCTACTAAATGAAATTTTAATGACCATCGATAATAATGCACATCTTCTGCAAGAGACATTGCAACAAGCAAAACAGGTGCCTGAAGATGCCTCTGGTTTAATTGAAGTGGATCTCAGGAGCGATAAACCAACTTTGAAACAAATAACTGCTGATGCTGGAATTTGTGGTTGTACAAATTGTAAATGCGATCAAACTCAGAACTGTCAAGGCGGTTGCAGCAATGAAACGCCATGTAGGAAGGAAGCAAATAATAAACACAAATGTTGCCATAACCATAAACCACAAATGCAGCCGCAGCCACAAAACACGCATAATCAAAAATTAGAAAGAAGCTTAACAGCTAAGCCTAAAACGATTAATCGCGGTAAGGAATGCTGTCAAAGTAAAAAAGAAAGAGCATCGGCGAAGCGTGAAGCTGACATAAATCAAAATATCGAAGATGTGGCATTATTGCTACAAAACTTGGCTTCTATGGGTAGTAGTACTGGTGGCGGTTGCTGTGGTGCCGATAAGAATACACCAAGAGCTTGCGCTGCAACCGACATGTCCAAAACAACAAGCCAACAAATGAGCTCAGTAGGCGGCAGTAGCAGCAGTTGTTGTGCATCGAAGTCCCCTGCTGTAAAAGATACATCGTCTTCAAATCTAGACAACCACCGTGTCCCACCTCCAAAATCACTCAAAAGTTCTTCATGCACGTGCAAAAGCCCTGCTGAAGGTGTTGCTAATGGCTGTTGCGTTATTATATGTACTAAAACTCTGCAGGCTTTGCGACGTGTACTGACACGAAAGAATCTAAATCTTATGGTTTGTCCACAGAGTCAAAATTGAAACGCCTGATTTCAAAATTTATCTATTTGCCAAGCTCTAACCAACACCAAAGATTTGATTTAAAACTCCATTTATCAATAATAACAGTTTAAGATTTGTACAATGAAACCCTTGCGTATCGGAGTTATAATAAATATTTTTATTAAAAGATAATTGATTAAATGCTAGAAAAATTTCACTGTTGTATTTAAAAGTGATCATATGTTTATAGAGATTAGGATGTTGCTATAGCTTCGAAAAATTGAGTTAGATGATTACAAAATCATTACAACTTTTTATGTTAAATTTCCCTTACACGATTGAACAATGTTAGAGTTAACTTATGAGTGTATAATATTTATGGACATATTCATTTATCATTTCCTCCCAAGTAGTTTACCATTATTTGTCCAGACACTGGTATTGCAGTATTTGAAAAAAAAATTTTGTTCAATTATTTTATGGGAAATACCAATGTATTGTTTACAAGATTTTTACACAATAGAAAATTACAAATTGTTTTTTTTTATACATTTGAACTTTGATGATATCCAAATAGTGTTTGTAATTTATCATATTGCATATCTACACTTTTGCATACAATCGTGTTTACTTGTACATGTATACATGAATACATAAATGCCATATGCATTATAAATCAAGAACATTAATTATTTATAATGTAAGTAATCGGTATACAAATACCTGTTAAGCCAAAGTACTTGGCTGTATTTTATTTTGTTTTTAAAGTTCATGTTAACCAAAGTGCCTGTATTATGTATTAATAAATATATTCAATATGAATCGCTTTGTACTTTGTTATAATGTTTGCCTTTATTAAAAATATTTTAAATTCATTTAAATGTTGTTTTAATATACACATTTTGTATAAATAATAATTCGCCGCATATAGCTTTATCAGCTAGAGTCCTATCTTCTTATACATTTGCGCAGTGCGAGCGATGTTTTCCTTAAAGTATGAGGCCTGGAAACCAAAATATGCTAGTCACGCTTATGTAATTAAACAAAAATTAATGCAGGAATGCTACTAATATCCTTTGCTAACAATCTTATTCTAAAATACTCCAGTAATCTGTGCCACTACGCTTCTAATCCTCGCCTGCAGGTATAGCGTCTTCCAGGCGTCGCAAAAATTTAATTCGAAGCTCCGTTACATTGTCACCTTTTAGTTGATCCTGAATTACAGAATAGTAATATATACATGAAAAAGTATATTCAAGATGCCCCTAAAATAAGTATTGCAAACATTTTGCATATATAATACCTGAACAAACCAGCATTGAACATCCAATTGCACCATCTCGAGAGCACCGCGTATACAGCCATTAAGTATAGAACTGTAGCGCAAATTGGTCAAATCCTGAGGCAGTTCGACGAATTCCGTTAAGGGATTGGTTTCAAAAACTAATGAAAATTCATCTGAAGAGGCAGACCAGTTGGAAATAGTCGGTTGTACATTTAGGTAGATGCGGAAGGCCTGTTGTATGCGATCTGCCGTTTCGCGCATTTCCAAACAGCGTGGAGCGGAGGTTCGTGCTAGGAAATCTTCAATTAATCTCATACCCATATTATAGCCTATACGTTCAAGTTGTTTATTTACATCTTCGATGTTTTCAAAATCTCGTAACATTTGAGTTACAAGCGCACCATAAGTGAGTGTTAAGAACTCGGCATTCTGGGGATTACAAATTATTTATTAGAGATAATTACAATACGGTTACATTGATAGCGGTTAGTCTTTATCTAAGTAACATCTAATTAGAGTGGAAATTAAATAAATATATGTATATAATGTTAATTTCCTTAAAACTAAAACTGGTATTGGTTATTGTAGACTTTTCCAAATGATTTATTTTATTGGTGTAATTGTAATATTTGGCGTTGGCGCTGGAATGGGCCCCTGATGTGGAGCGATTAACTTTGGTGCAGTACGCACAGATGCTCGTGTTTGTACCGGTTGCATTTGCGATTCGCAGTTGTTAAGTCCAGACGCACTTAATTCACCTTTAATTTGAGCAGAGTGGAATCGGCCTCCTTCTCCACGTACTCTATTCATTGCATGGCGATGTCGAGATTCGTGCAAATACTTGGAACGTTCCTTAGGTATGCGGGATTCAAGTTTTGCACGAGCTTGTCGTCTTATGAGTATTCTTTTATATTGTTTGGCATTGACATAGAGAGGTTCTTCTTCCGATTCACCCTTACTTGAGTCGTCTTCCGCTTGTACTCCCGCTGAAGTAACATCGTTTGCCGTAGTATTAGAAATTGTGGCAGACGTTGGTTGTTGTGATGATACTGCAGCGGCAGCTTGAGGTACTGCAACAGTTGTTGTTGTTCCCGCTTGAGGCATCATAATTATTTGTTGTCCCACTGCTGGAGCGGTGCCTGTCGCACCTTGTGGATGCGTAGGGGCCGTAGCAATTTGCATTAATTGACCGTTAATGTTAATAAGCTGTGGTTGCGGTGTTGCTTGAGTAGCAGCAGTACTTGGGTCAAGCGTCAATGAAGTTGTAGGTGGTTGGTAAAATATTGTTTGACCATCCGGTAATTGAAGTAGTTGCATGGGTTGAGCTGCTTGCTGTGGCTGTTGTAACATTATTTGGTTCGTCTGAAGAGGTATGAGACTGGTTGCCGGTGCTCCCGTTGCATTAGAGGATTGAGCTTGTTGTTGTGGAACTTGTCCAATAATAATTTGGGCACCACCAGCAGTCATCATGGGGATGAATTGTATTTGCTTTTGATTTTGTAAGTTCCGATTATTTTGTGCTACAACGGTGATGGTACCCGAAGTCTTGTTCAATTTATTGTTTATTGTATTGTGATTATTCTCCATGCACCTTTTCGAGATGAATATTGTAAAACTGAGACGTGAAATCAAATTTGGTTTCTCATACAATTACTGCAAAATCGAATGGAATATAAGCGAACCTTCGATAGTGACTACCCGCTATCAAAATAATTCAACTATAAGTTATATTAAACTTACAACTTTTTTAGTGTCAAAACGAGAAGCTTGTCGAGACATTATAGAAATATGACTTTTCCAACTACAGATTATCTAATCTAACCAATATCCCTCAAAATTATTCTAGGATAAATTTTAGCTTTTACTCCTAACAAAATAAAATGTGTTGAGATATATGGATGCGGGGTATATTCAGTGGACTAAGTGGTGAATTTTAGAAAATATCCGTCATCAGAAAATTTGTATTGAATAAACACAATTTTGTAACTAAGATTTATATTTTGTTGGGTTTCATAATGAATTAATACATCTATAAGGGTGTTTAATGTTAATAAATTAGATTGTATCAGCGTTAAATTTAATTTTGCCACATAATTTTAAATGAATCTATTACAATTCCAGTAAACTTTGAACACTGGTGTGTGGTAGCTTTGTACAACTCTGATTGTCTACGTTTGCTTTGACAAGAGGTTCGCGTGGTGGTGATTTCTGTAGATAAGGATGAAAATTGCTTAGTTCATTGAGTCAATTTATGAGATTTTTAATTTATCTAATAAACGAAATTTGCAAACAGAGTGGTTAATAATAAGAAGATAGTAATTATCGATCATTGAAGTCTCAAAACGTGTGTGTTTAAAATCTTACATAGGTAAGTTTACATCAAAGGTGGCCATTCCCGCCATTAGTACGTATAAAGTGCTGCCTAGTTATGTTTATTACTAGGACTTTTTTTTGAATACGGCTTATCCAGTGACTACATTAATCTCCTTGTAAAATTTACGAAACTTTTTTTTAATATTCCTAGGGATATTGTTTTCATAATAGTTTATTACAAGTTCATTACATTGCATACTTTTGTTTTTAATTTATTTCTTTGTCATATAAATCCTTTTAAATGGCATACTTAAATAAAAGTGCTAGCGGCGAGAGGCGCAGAATTTTTAAACAAAGTAACTGTATGTCAAAGTCTCACTTAAATTCTAAAATTAGAACAAAATAAATGAAATGCATAAAAAAGTAATTTGTTAATAATACTTTCATTTATTTGTATAAGCATTAAAAATAGCACGTGAAAACAAAAAATCACTTGTTAAGAAGCTGTCGAAATCGAATTTTTTAACCCGCAGCGTTTATTTAGATATTCACCATACATATTGTAATTCTTGGGCATACATAATTTATGGGCTATTTTTGTAGTAATTTGCAGCCTTTTTTAGTACACTAGTAAACGTAACGTATTCGTGAAAATATAATAAATTTGTATATTTGAAGTTGAATATGAATATCCCAATGTGACTCGCTGGTATGATCTCTAGTACTATTGTAAATTTATATACCAATGAATAGTCTGTTAATAATTATAATTTTTTATAAAGCTGCGTATGTTTGTTTTAAAAAAGTATTACTCTTCATGGTTATACGAAAAATGCAACTCTGAGTTTTGTATTACCTACTCAGCTGTTGTCTTTGTTTTCGCTGTAATCGCAATCTTTTTTTTTTGCTAGGTGCTTTGTGTGGATTTGTGTGTATTACGTCGAATTGAGAAACTAAATTTATTTTTACTTTTATTTACCTTGATTCAAAGAGTTTTATTTTCCTACTCAAACAGAGTTACTGATAACAACCTGCAAGTAAGATTTGAACTTTTGACTTTAAAATGTTCTGAATGTATCTTTTTTAATTTGGAAATTTTTGCGTTTCAGTTTGCGACGCCAGACATTAGAAACAATATACAAACGCACAAAGAAAAAACAAGAACTTGGATAAAAGAAACGAAGTTCAGGGGCACAGAAGCCTCCTCTGGATATATTGTCAGAGTACAATTAGAAGTTTGTCATTTTTGAGGATCATAATAACTAGTGATTAGTTTATAAATTTCTTTTGTGTTGTTACTTAGAGCAAAGTAATAGAGCATCACTAGTATATCAATTCTGAAACTTTAAAACCTTGCTGTCATAAAATGTTGGACTTAGAAATTGTGCCTGAGTTATCGCTGGGATGTGATACTTGGGAGTTCGTTTTGGGGATGCACTTTTCGCAAGCAATAGCAATAATACAATCGCAAGTGGGAATAATTAAAGGCGTGCAAGTGCTTTACTCGGATACAAACCCATTGGGTGTGGATATTATAATAAACTTACCTCAAGATGGTGTTCGTTTAATTTTTGATCCCATAGTTCAACGTTTGAAAACCATTGAAGTATTCAATATGAAATTAGTAAAGCTGAAGTATGGTGGAGTACACTTCAATTCCCCAGAAGTTCTGCCCTCCATAGAACAAATTGAACATTCTTTTGGGGCTACCCATCCTGGCGTATACGACGCTGCAAAACAATTATTTGCTTTACATTTCCGTGGATTGAGTTTCTTTTTCCCAGTGGATAGTAAATTGCAAGAGGGATACGCACATGGTTTGGGATCATTGATTTTTTTAAGTGGCGCATCGCCAGTTGTATCAAAAATGTCTCTCTACTCTGGTAGTAATGTTTCGGAGACACGCGCTCCACCGCTTCCTCTCTCTTGTTATCATCGACAGATATATTTGGATTCAGCTAAAGTGTTACGTTCTACAAACGGTTATTCAAAAGGTCTCAAACTAAAATTATATACCGAGGGATCCAGTCGCTCATTAGAGCATCGGCGCCAATGTTTCACAAGGGAAGTTCTTTTCGGCGACAGCTGTCAGGATGTAGCTATGAAACTTGGTGCACCAAATCGAATATTTTTTAAAAGTGAAGATAAAATGAAAATACACTCTTCCAGTGTAAACCGTCAGGCGCAGAGTAAAAGGAGCGATACTTTCTTTAATTATTTCACACTTGGCATAGACGTGTTATTTGATGCGCGTACCCAAACTTGCAAGAAGTTTGTGTTACATACAAATTACCCAGGACATTTCAACTTCAATATGTACCATCGCTGTGAATTCAAATTTAATTTGAAAAGTGAAAATGATCATGATAATTATGGAAAAAAGAGCTCCGAGGACATTGAAGTTACTGCATACGCCAAGTGGGACGAGATTAGTGCGGTAGTGCCGTCAGCTCGTCCGGTGGTGCTTCATCGCGCTAGCTCAACAAACACTGCCAATCCCTTCGGTGCAACCTTTTGCTATGGTTATCAGGATATAATATTTGAGGTCATGACAAACAATCATATTGCCTCCATAACATTATACAGTACGATTCCACCATTAAAACAAACTGAGCAGTCTTACCAGGAGCACAAATTGCAGGATATAAGTTTGTCAGTTGCGTGAAAAGACACATTTGCACAGAGTTCGCAAACTCTGACTTATAATTCAGTAAAAGTTCAACCGAATCGTGAATATTTTTAATTAAAATATGTTTTAATACTAAGAATAAAAGAACTTGAAAGTAGAAGCTTAAGTTAAAAAAATGAACCATGACTACTTTCCTTTTGCACTACATATAAAAGCGGCATTTAAACAGAAGAAATACACAATAAGACCAACGTAATAGCCCTTCAATATCCGCAAATATTTTTTAATTCAGTTTTCTACTAACATCACATCGAAATATATACAGTCAGCTATTGCAGCAATTTTCAATTTTACTTCCTTAATGCCGTTTTAATATGTGGGTAAATCGATTGTGGTCTGAGGAGAGTGTGACCGCACTATGTCTACATATATAAGGAGTTTAATGTATAATACAATTATATAACAATTATATTTTATATATAGCGAACTCTTAACACCTAAAATATACCAAACTTTCAAAGGTATTGAATGTATATAAATATGTATACATTCTAAAATATGTATGTAAATTAAGCTTATACATATAATACATGTTTACATAACAGGATAATAAGGTTTAAATTAATCACTGTTTGACAAAATAGTATTTAAGTTTACATACATATAAAAGTGTATATTAACATCATTTTGAACACTGACTTAATCTTAGTGTTGTTTGGTTGGATAGCCGCGGAAGCTAGAACTAAAAGTGTTTACTTTTTTAAATAATTGCATTGAGTTTCTAAAGTTCTACTATATAATTAATTGTACGTGCACATTTTTATTCCGTTAGTTCAAAAAGATATAATGTAAAAAAAATTAAAAAAAATGTAATAAAATGTAATAAAAATTTGAATCTATTGAAATAAGTAAAAAAATAAAATAAATAGCGATAACAACAATTGAAACTTTTGTTTTCCTTGGTGTATATGAAAATCCACTGAATTTGTTTTTTATTAGCAAGATATATTTATAAATGAAGTTCTTAAATGATGATTATATTTTCTATGATTTCAGCATATAAAGTATAAACAACGAACTTTTAAAATGCCGGAAGAAGAAACTCCAACCGTAAACACGGCAAATTATGATCCCAACATACTTCCGGACATGTTACCTGTCTATTACAAAAGATTATTTCCGCATAAACCATTTTACCGTTGGTTATCATATGGACTTTGTGAGTCAAAACTTTGCTATCATCATTATTTTATGAATTCATGTAAGCTTACTGAAATTTTTTAGCTGAAAGCAATATTTTTGCGAATCGTGAGTTCTCCTACACACTCCACGATGATATATACATTCGTTATCGTTGTTACGATACTCAAAGTGAATTGGAAAACGACATCTGCTCGACGTGTCCACACAAAATCGACATTGGTGCAGTTATGAATACCAGGTGATATTTCTAAATTTTTCGTTTATGTATGTATTTATATTAACTGTGAAATATTAAAATTTTCTAGACCTAAGAACTTTCGTATCACATCAACAGCAATGCAGCCAGTACAACGTGAGCTGGTTTTCGATATTGACATGGATGATTATAACGATGTGCGCACCTGTTGCACCGGTGCAACGGTATGTTTAAAATGCTGGAAATTCATGGCTTTAGCCGCCCGTCTGCTTGATGCAGCTCTACGTGAAGATTTTGGTTTCGAGCATATATTATGGGTATTTTCGGGCCGTCGTGGTGTCCACGGATGGGTGTGCGATTATGATGCACGTCACTTAGATTCGAGAGGACGCTCCGCACTTGCCGAGTATCTACAAATTACTTCTAATGTAACTATTAATGGTGTGATTATAGCGCGCGTTCAAATTGGGGAACGTATGCATCACAGTGTCCGACGTGCGCTAAAATTTATCGAGCCACTGTTTGAGGAGATTGTTTTGGAGGATCAAAATTTATTTGGAGACGTCAAAGGTGTTAATAAATTATTATTAATGATTCCGGACGATACGGCTCGTAAGGATGTAGAAACGTATTTAAGGAAAACGCATGATGATGGTGCACATTCTCGAACAATATGGGCCACTTTTGTGCGCTATGCAAATTCCATGCGAACAGGCACTGCTAACGTTTGGACACGCAAACTAAAAAATATAGTTGAGGAGATTCAGCTGGGTATACTTTACCCTCGTTTGGACATCAATGTTACCAAGGGCATGAATCATTTACTCAAGTCACCTTTTTGTATTCACCCAGGAACTGGAAAAGTTTGTGTTCCGTTTAATTGTAATGCCGCTGCAAAGTTCGACCCCACCACAGTACCTAATATAGCACAGTTATTGCAAGAGATTAACGCTTTTGACGACAAATCAAAATGTCAAGAAAATGGTCCGGAAGACAAAAGTCGCATTAAAGACTACAAGAAGACTGGTATGTTTAAGGGAGTTGTAGTGTTTGAAGAATTCTTACGGAAATTGGAGAGTAGCTTAAAAGCAAAAGCAATTGATGTAAGTGACCAAACAATGGAGTTTTAGTTGTCATATGGTAGGTTTAAAAAATCAAAAAGTTAATTCTAAAATAAATATTTATTTCGTAATTAATACATCATTTAATTTTTGGCAAATGCATTACCAAAGTATAACTCAGGTAGACATTAACAAAATGTGTTTTACCACCACTCATATATATGTACATAAAACAGTTATGTTAAAATTTGAAAATAAGTGAAAATAACCCAAATTTAATGCAAAATGTTTAAGTTTATTAACATTAACCAGATAGAGGTTTAGAAATATTTCACTATTCAAAAATATATATGAGACATTTCTATAATACCTCAAACAATTTTAGACTACACGTATTCGTAAATGTGGTTTACGAATTGGTTCGGCGCCTACTTGTTTGCAATCAATGTCTGCTTCGATGCGATATGTGCCATTATCTGTTGGTGTCAAGCCTTCTAAAGTTACTTCATTGACTTTATCACCACTTCGTACGCGAATAACACTGCCAATTTCAGCACCTTCCGTTTGCTTCAGCTCAAGCAGCACTTTTCGTGGTAAAGATGTTCCCTTCCCTATTAATATTTGCGCGTTTGTTTCGTCATTGCCATGCCAAATTAGAAGATCCTCTTCTACGTATATTCGCTCATCTGTAGCCTGCAGGTCTTGTTCCATTGGCGTATGAAGGAATGTTGCTTGTCGAGCACATCCTATGGCTACTACCTCATCAGCTGAGATTGTTGAATGTAATTGAGCGTCCGGGAATCGCGCCGCAATGACTGATTGTAGTTTTGGTATACGCATTGTGGCTCCCAGCAAGACAATTGAATTAACGCCTTTAACTTCAGGGTGGTCCACTGACGCACGTTCAACACATTCGTTTAATGTCTGCATAAAATTGTTAATAACAGGTTGAATAAGACTTTCAAATCTTGCACGCGACATTTGAGCATTAAAATCAACACCATCCATAAGTGAGTCAATATATATTTGAGTTGAGGGAAGTGTTGTTAATATATGTTTGCAGTTGGTTGCTGCGTTACGTATTTTTGACAAAGATCGGCGACTCTCATGCGGATCTAATTTATATTTTCTTTTGAACTCCTCGCATATGAATTGAACTAGGGCGTCTGTGAAATGTTGACCACCAATTGGATATGGTCCGTATGCATCCAACTGTGTGTAGAGTCCATCTCTAACTTCGTATAATGCAAAATGGCTGTTCAAACCTCCACACTTTATAGTTAGGACGTATTTGCTTTCGTTGTTCGTGCTGCCTTCAGCTTCTTCTTGTTCCCCTATACCATATGCAAGTATTGCTGCAGTCGGTTCGGTAATAATCTGAGCAACATGAAATCCTGCTTCTTTTGCGGCACGAGCCAATTCAGGCCAAGCAGACTTTGAATAGAAACTCGGTATAGAGATTACAACAACTGGATCTTTTTCCGATGAAATATGATATTGACGAGCTAATTCCAACTCTGCACGAAAGAGCTTAACCTGGACATCGAAAGGTGTCAGTTCCCGAATGTTTTCTTTAAATTCGTCACTTTTATCGTCTTGTATTTGACATTTAAGCTGGAAAGTATGACTGAGAGCATCATAATCGCACGGCAGCTCCTGTATGGCAGTTTTTAGTCTTTCCTCATCCAACTCTTGTGGCATAAGCAGCTGAAAACTGTTGGCCACAGCTTGTTTTGGACGGGTAGCCATCTTTTGTTTTGCAGTTAATCCACATTCAATTTCTTCGTCGCCACCCCAGAGCAGACATGCTTGTGAGTTTCGGTCACCTTGTTTGTTCGCGATAACTTCTGGCTTACCGTCGTTTTTTACATGAGCAATGCATAACGTGCTATTGCCAATTTTGATACCGAATCTTGGCCACATTTTATTTCAACAATCAACACACTCTATTGAATCCTACAGAATTGTTACGATGATAAAATTTGTCCACTACTATAAACGTGCGCGTGTTCGTAAAGAATTCTTGGCGGTAGCATGCGATTTTTATGACAGTTACAAGTGTTGCCGGCTTGAACACTATACCCAAGATAAATAAACACAAGACTGGAGGACATGAATATAATTCTGTAATGATTGATATCAATCTTTCAGATAAACAAGTATACGTAGAAAAAGAATGATCATATGGAGACTTGTTGTTTATTGGAATGTAAGTGTTTTAAGGAATTTTTTTAATATAAATTTAATATAAATAATATAATTGTTTATATTCTGTATTCAATCAATCAATAGGGGTATTCTGTTGCTCTTGCAAAACCCTTGCACGGTGCACGAATTGCAGATTTTTCCACCTTATGCAAAGGCACAACAAACACAACACACACAAAAATGTTTGCAAGGGCTGTAAAATATATCAGAAAATAACCCTTGGGGTATTCGCTTGCTCTTGCAAAACCCTTGCACGGTGCAAGAATTGCATATATTTCCTCTTGGTGCACCGGCACAACAACAAACACACGCAGAATATTATTTGCAATGGCTGTAAAATATGTCAGACCAAAGCCCATGTATATTTGCGTGCAATGTCACGTAAAAATATAATTGCAAAGCTGTTTTAGCTGTCATTTTACATAAAGACATATTTCAGCTCGAAATTGTTGAGGAAGGTAAATTTTAAATATATTTTATAATTTCTATTTAAATTATAAAGATTTGTTACAGTTCTTTTGATAAGAATGATGGCAGAAGGTGCCCCAATTCAGAATAGCCATGCACAAAAGTCATTTACAATAAATTGACCGAATCAGCTGTTCATATATCAAAAGATTCTGCAATGAGTGCTCTCGTACCCTTGTATATTTTGCTATGGGATTTTTGCAATCTGCAATTTTGCAAAAGCAAGAAAATCCTCCAATGTCTCTTAAAATAAATTTAAAGTATTTTACTGGAATTTTATAACTCTTAATCTAATTGTTTTGAAAAATCTATTTAAAAACAGATTTTTCTGTTAGTTGAATATTTATTATTTCATGGTGGTAGCACTTTGTATTCAACGAATAACAAGAAAGAGGAGTGAAATGAAATGATGTCAAAAGGCATAGTTGAGATTTTCACAAGGCAGAAAATAGCTGTACATTTAATTATCAACGTAAAAATTGTGAAAATCAATAACAAAACAAAAATATAAAGTAAAGTATCAATAAGTGCAATAAATGACTCACTGAAGAGTTTAATTTAGCGAAAAATTCAAGTATATTATTAGAAATTATTTAATGTGATATTTGTTTTCAAAATTCGATAATAGCAACGGTTGGCTGTGTTATTTGTACTCGATTCGGGTATCGGGCGCACCACCCATCCAAATGTTGTAATTTACCTACAATTCTCGTATAGACTAACACCTCAATTGTAAAAGTGATTGCGATTCGTCATCATCGATCAGAACAAAAAAGAGGGCGATTGAATCTGAATAATATTAATTGCTTTTGTGTATTTTCAGCTCAAGAATACAAACAACAAAATAAACCTGTGTTGCATTCTTAGACTTACATATAATCGAGCAATCATTTATATTAGAAAGATGTAAATAAAATAGTATTCGACCAACCCATGGAAAAACAGCTAAGTATTGCATTGTAGTTTTCAATTTCCTTGTTTTACCTACTGGATTCCTTGGGTATTGTTCAAAAAGAAACGCGGCCGTCCCTTATACTACTCACCTACATATCTACCTGGAGTAGTTTTCTTGCATACATACGCATGTATGACCTTTCACACACCGCTTGAATTTAGCCATCTGAAAGTACAGAAACGAGTACAAACGGACGACATCTTTCGTACTCGAATATACAGAAAATCGAAAACATTTTAAAAAAAACTTTAAAGGAGTAAAAATAGAACACATTTACGTTAAATATATTCACCGGTAGACATATCGTCGATATTGAGACATGGATGATAACCTTAGTACGAAATCTTCTGAATCCTCACTAACCACTAGTGGAGAGTATGAAATTGTTTCTGACAGCAATATTACAACACCAATAGACCAGCAGCATTTGTCGGAGAATGGTACACTTTTAATAATACCGACAAACAACAAATCGCCAACACTGAATTTAGCTAATAATCGTAATATTGCTGATTTACAACATGCTATGACGGACGCTCTACGTGAAATAGATTTAAATTCAGACACTTCTTCATCTGGTGAGAATGGCTATACTTCTTATGTACTTATATATAATCTATAAGTAATTAGATAGATTATTAATAAAATCATACAATATGGTAAATATTACAATACTTATATTGAAATATGAATATTCCCTAAATAAGATAAGGACAATTCTAAACATATGTACATATATTTTGATTGCAATATATTATATTTTGTAATGTAGAACGTAATTTTGTTGTATTCTTCAAAGCATTCCAATTAGTGATTTTATACTAAAATTTATTTGTATTGTAACTGTAGTGAAACTTTAAAATTTTACTAATATTGATAAACTAAAAGTAATCAATTTATACTAAATTTTAAAATTTACATAAAATAAGTAATTAAAACAATAAACGAGTGTTCCTAAGATATACAGTTTTAATCTCGATCAGCCTTTTAAACTATCGAAATTAAAAACAAAAAAAAACTTTAAAGAATTCCGATCAATTTCAAATATGTATAACTTCGATCTTTACTCACTATTCATTAAAGGCCGGTTGTAGGGATATCATTATAAAAAAATAAATAAAACCTAACAGCTGCTAGCAAAACAGAACAATGTGTTTCTTAGCAACGTCATAAGTCACGATAATAACAACGCCTCTCATCTCTCCATAAATAATGAGAATTATCTTAAACCACACGGCATTAGTACTTTGCTATTTCGAGGTGTACTCAATTTTCAATATATTGCAGCACCCAATGCGGTAGCGTTGAGTAAACAAAAATCTCTGACATTACCATTGGCTGGTACTTCAAGCCCGGCACTGCTGGTTCCAAACAACGACTGCGAACAGCAACAGTTAGTTCTACCAAAGACCGCAATGAAGTCACAATCATTAAACCGCCACCACACAGACTATGCTATGACACCAAAAAGCGATGACGCGTCAACTTCCGAACAAAATCGAGT